AGGTCAGTCCTGGCTTTTTGCGAACCTAAGGCGCACTCAGAAGATGAGGTCCCAACCCTCGTACATATTTCCAAAAATATATATATTGATAAAATAATAACAATTTTTAATTTATTTTTATTTTTTGCTTGTACCTTCTATAAATTTGTCACATATGGTACACATAATTATTGGCGTAAATCATAGTTATTAAGATAAATTTTGAACATTTTTTATTGTTACAATATTAAGCAGACCAGGCGTGAACTACGCCCGGCCGAGCTGTGACTTGTAGACATTTGGTAGGGCACGCAGTCGAGTGGCGAGACTGGGCTACGGGTAGCTCGGGCTAAACCGAGGACGAGGCGAAGGCCGGCATGCCTTTGAACGGTTAGCCGAGATGGACAGATTCCAGATAACCTCGGATGAAGGTAGAACGGATGGAGGCCGGCATGCCTCGGAACTGGTAAGCCACAATAAACCGGCCAATATCAGCCCGGTCATGATCATCACCCCTTGGTCCCTTTGCCAAAGGTGCAGGCCGGCGACTCATAGCTCGGTTGCGTGCATGTGGTGACAGTTCTCTACGAGGGATAGGCCGGTCGTGGTACTCCGGTTAGGTGTGCCACCTGGGCCAATGGCGTGAGGGAGAGGACATCTGCTCCACGCACGCATCAATATCGTTGGACAGTTCTGCGTGTACTGGTGGGAGAACTAAGCCTTTACACGCGTAAGGTGGTGAGAGGCGAGCACTGTCACCTGTCCAGGGAAGGACAGCAGAGATATTGCGCGCACAATCTTGAGGCTGCATGGCCAGCCTAGAAATAGAAGGAGAGAGGAACGTTAGAGGTAGGCAAATGGATGCTATCTGAACAACTCTCGCTTTCTCTCTAAAAAGTGCTCTTCTTCTTTTTCAAGTGACCTAACTTGATCGTCGGAGGGGCTTTCCGACACCACCCCTGCCGGGCAGATCGCCGCCTCTTTGTTTGCAGGCAAGGCGACGTTGCACGAAGCTGGAGTCCAAGGAAGTACGGAAAGCAAGGGATCTTTATTCCCCGTACAACGTTCATATTACAAATACATATTGGTAAATAACACCCCCTCATGGAACTGTATACACACTCAATGTTACATGAGTGTGCAAGGTCAGTCCTGGCTTTTTGGGAACCTAAGGCGCACTCAGAAGATGAGGTCCCAACCATATTTCAAAAAATATATATATTGATAAAATAATAACAATTTTTAATTTATTTTTATTTTTTGCTTGTACCTTCTATAAATTTGTCACATATGATACACATAATTATTGGCGTAAATCATAGTTATTAAGATAAATTTTGAACATTTTTTATTGTTACACTATTAATTTATTCACATTCTTTCCTGACATAATAAATTAAATTGTAAAATTTAATTAACTTCAACTTAAAAAAATTATTTTTTCAGAAACCATTGTAACTCATATAGTCAAACAATATTCTATAAATAATTTGTGCATTTGGTAAGCAACCATCCATTATTTTTAAATAATTCACCAATTCAATTGTTTGTTTAAATCTTCATTTTCAAACTACTAATACTATAATATAGTGTTTAGTTTACTAGAATAAAATTGAATTGAATTGAATGATCATTTCTTAGTTTTTTTATAAAATTATTATTCTCTCACAATAGTGAATGATGATTTCGTTTGTAATCCTTTTTCGTAAATCAAATGTGAAACTTTTAATAAACCAAACATAACTTAAGATTGAAATTATTTCGAGGCCCTATTTTTTATACAGAATTTGAGAGCCCAAGGCAGCAACCTTGCCCGTCTTACCTCAAGGTCAGCCTTGTGAGTGTGTGAATATTAGCATTTGGTGCAACTACCTATTTGTATTACAGAATTAATGTGAGCATTCACATCTCCATGTACACACTATGCTTGTGACCAAAATAATACATTGTTGTTTATGCTAGTATGACTAGTTTTGAATATGAATATTAACACATTGTTGTTTACGTTTGTATGATTATTCCTAAATGTGAATATTAACATTGATTGATGATATGATGATTACAATACCAATTGCAACACATTACAATGTGATAATCCACAACAAGCAATTATATGTGTAAAAACCATGCAAACTCATATAATAATCAATGATATGTGAACATTCACATTAGACAATAATGATGCAATCATTAGTTTATATTGCACATAATACAACCATCATGCTTCTAATGTTAAAATTCACATCATTAAATGCAAAACAATAAAATTTGATAACTCCACAATAACAAAAATGGTGTCAACCTTTGTCCAATAATTCAAAACTTGTAATAGATATGAAAAACCATCCCTATGATCTCTCATCGGAAGAAAACAAAGTTTCAAAAACCCCTACAAAAACATATAATGGAAATATATCCATTGATTCTTCCAAAGATCGCTGATCACCAAAACTACCAAAACAAAAATAACAAAATATAGAAACGTATAAATCTTATTGCGTGTAATACGTATTATCAAAAAAGAACAAAATGATATTATAGTTCCAAAAAAAATTATACATTAGGAAAAAAGGACAGCCTACTATAAAAGTCTAAATATGTGAGACTTGATGAAATACTAAATTTTTTTATAAACTTATTGAATTATAAATTCACTAAATGAGATTTATAAATAAATATCTCATTATCTTCCTTAGAAATTTAACCATACTAGAATTTGGACCATAATAATAATGTCTTTGGGCTTATTTATTTATTTTATTGTATTCACTATAAGAATTTAATCTTTTTAATGAGAAGCATCTACGTGTCCAAAACTAAATAGAAATATTTTGACAATTGGAAATATTTTGACAATTTGTTTAAAAATTAGTTTTTTTACTTTTTGTTTTTTTTTTTTTTTTTGAGTTATATAACCTCTCTGTTTTTTACATGATTTTTTTAAAAAAAGGTCAAAAAAATTTAAAAACTTAACTTTCAACCTACTTCTCAAAATAAATAGAAATATTTTCTAAAACCATCCCCCTATTACATTTATTTAAATGAATAATATCGTGAACATTTAAGTACTGAATTTTAAAAATGGACATTTCATAATTGGGTAAATGAAAACATGAACAAAACAAATATGGAAGAAAAACAGTTAAATCAATGGTGGAAGTAAAAATTTTGTCTAGGGGAGCAAGGAATGTGCATAAAATCTGGGATTATAAATCAACTATCTAAATTATTGAAAAATATCATTTTATCCTTTAAACTATACAAATGTATAAATGGACCTCTTAAACTATTAAAAATGTATCAATTGGACCCCCCTAACAGAATAGGTCAAAGTAAAACACGACAATAATTTAGAGAGTCTATTTGTACACTTTTATAGTTTAGAGTGTAAAGTGATACTTCTCAATAGTTAGGGGATCCACTTTTATAGTTTAGTGAATCAAAGTGTTAGTTTTCAGTAGTTTAGGAAGTCTATATGTAAATAACCTTAAAATTTAGTTTGTTAGTTTTTATTTTTTTAATTGAAAATAATTTCTTATATATGTATGTATTGTGATAAAATCTCATTTGGGAACAGATTATTTGAGTAATTTTTTGAATTTTTATAAAAATATGTGTAGAAAAATAGAGAGAGTGATGTAATAACTTATAGTGACTTTTTGATTTTTTGGTTAAAATGTTTAGTCCCAAAACACAAGCCATTTTTTCATTTTTAAAAATTTTGAACTATTAATTTGATCTCAATATATAATTAGTTAGACCACTATTTTAATCCATTTTATTGGTTGATATCATCTAATAAATTAAAATTGAAAAATGCTTAAAACTCTTAAAACATGATCATTAAATTTACATTAAATGACGTGGACTGCTACATATCAATTGTTAATTTGTTGATTTATTTATTCATTTCTTTGGGAGTAATGTTTAAGCTTATCTAACATTATTCATTAAAAATATACATTCTATTTTATATTTAATTTTTTAAAAAAGAACTGACATATACCGATTGTATTAATAAAATTGACTTTATAAAATTGATGCTATTAACTAAATGATAATAATTAGAAATCATCTTAATATACATTGTGAAATACTAATAAAATAATAAAAAGTTAATAAAGTGATTTTTATAAAATTAAGAGATCATCTAATTATACATTTTACAAATATTCATACAGAGCTGCTAGGGACCCCCAGCTGGGGGCACCCCAGCACCCCCAGCTCATTTTCATTGGCCAGTGTCCTTTTTTTTTTTTTTTTTTTTTTCTTTCCTTCCAATCACCCAGTGCCACGTGGCACTGGGGTCACTGGGGGTGGGTTTTGTTGGGGGTCTGCCGCATTTTTCATATTCATAAATGTAAAACTCATAATAAAATTTCAAAAATTTTGACCCAATTTGACGCAGCCCTACTATGATAATTTAGAACTAAAGAGAGAACCTGTTCTCATCTTAGTGTGGAACACCCTCTCGCATTACTCTTTATTTGTATATTGATTATTGATTGATAAAGGAGAAACTTGTTACATGATGCTATGCAATTGAAAAGACACGTTAACTAATTAGATAATTTCTCTTTCCAAACTATTTATTTTGTGTAGATTTCATAATAAATTATTTAAATTATTAAAATGAGTCCGAAATGAATTTATTGTGATTTCACCTTTGCCATTGTGTACTTGCATTCAAGATCTTAAAAAACAAAAATAAAAGCATTATTTATGTTCAAATTTTGTGGGAAGAGTTTTGTTTCGCTTTGGCTAATCTGCTGGGAAATCATCAACCTGAAAAATTAAACCAAATATTATACAAAATTGTAAATAAATTGTTCAAACCACACAAAAGCTAGTCAAAGTTCAGGGCTCAAACCACACAAACATATTAGCTCAAATTGTTGGCAAATATTTCATATGAAAACACATCTCTACCTCTCTCTCTCTCTCTCTCTCTCTCTCTCTCTCTCTCTCTCTCTCTCTCTTAATATGGACAGGCTGGAAGGATCCAAAACCCAACCCCACTATCATTATTGTTATTGTTGTTATTCATAATTATAATAATAATAACAATTTACATTACAAAGTTAATAAAAATATATTTCCACACAAAACCACCCAGAGAAAAAGCTAGAAAAGGCAGGGAAGGAAAAGGGAGTTGGTTTCTTTCCCTTCCTTTTTACCCCCTTCTCTTCTTTTCTTGCAGCCTCTGCTAAGCATATTTTTCTCACTTTTATGCTCTTTGCTCTCTCAGTCCCATTTCTTTACCTTCTTGATTGAAATTTTTCTTGGGTTTTCTTGTTATTCTGTTTCACTCTCTCCTATTTCCTTCACTTCTTCAGCTTAGAATCCATTACTCAAATGCTGGATTCTTGATGGGTTTTACCTATCTGACAGTATTTGTTTGATCAGAAAGTTGAATTGCTTTCTTCTCTTGAACTTTCATACTATTTTACTCGTTGGGTTTCTTCTTTTCCTTTACAATTTTCTTTGAATTCATATCCTTGGCCAATTCTCTGTTAATCTTTTCTGGTTTTTGTTGATCAATTTGGATTTCCCTTTTCTCTTCGTTTTATGGGTTTCAGTTAGATTCTTGGAATTCATCACTTTGATCCAAGTTTCAGTTCTTGTTTAATAATCATTTCTCTGTTTGAGCTTTGAATCCCCTGAATTTTTAGTCCTTTACCGCTTTCAATGGTTTAACCATCTGAGCTTTTGTAATTGTTTCTTGACACACTTTTTCTTTTTCTTACTTGGGTTTCTGTGATTCCGATTCTTAGTTGTGTTTCTGATTCCATGGGACTTTGTCATGGAAAACCCACTGAGAACTCACAAAACCAATCTGAAAACACAATAATTCCCAGAGAAAATGAGCCGGGTTTGAATTCCAAAACTGGGAAATCATCAAAATTCCCATTTTACAGCCCAAGTCCCTTGGCCAGTGTGTTCAAGAACTCACCTGCCTATTCCGGTGTCAGTTCTACCCCTCTGCGCATCTTTAAGCGCCCATTTCCTCCACCTTCACCGGCAAAGCATATTCGGGCATTGCTTGCTCGTAGGCATGGTTCAGTCAAGCCTAATGAGGCCTCAATACCAGAAGGAAGGGAGGTTGAGATGGGTTTGGACAAGAATTTTGGGTATTCTAAGCAATTCATGACCCATTATGAACTAGGGGAAGAGGTGGGGCGTGGGCATTTTGGGTATACTTGTTCGGCGAAGGGAAAGAAAGGGAACTTAAAGGGACAGGATGTGGCAGTCAAGGTTATTCCGAAATCGAAGGTCTGAATTCTCTGAAAATTTTCTAATTTGTGTATTTAGAATTTATTAAATAATTTACTGAGAATTTACAGATAATTTAAAAAGTAATTTATAGAGAATTTACTGAAAATTTAACAAGCAATTTATTGAGAATTTACTACAAATTTATTGAGAATTTATGGAGTAATTTGCTGAATAATTTACTAAGAAATTACTGTGAATTTTCCAAGAATTTATATAGAATTTTCTGAGAACTTATTGAGTAATTTACTTAGTAATTTGCTCATAATTTACTGATTAATTCACAAAAAAAATTTCTTGTAATTTGTTGTGTAATTTACTGTGAATTTAATGAGTAATTTACTCGTAATTTATTGAGAATTTTCTTAGAATTTATTGAAAGTTTTCAGAGTAATTTGCTTTGAATTTATTGAGTGATTCACCGAGAATTTGCCGATAATTAACCGAGTAATTTACAGAGAATTTATTGAAAATTTAACGAATAATTTATTGAGAATTTGCAACCAATTTACTGAGAATTTACGGAGTAA